GTATATATATATATATATATATTAATTGCATATAAATGGAGGAAAGGTTATTTTTTTTGAGAGCAAGATGAAAGGTTAATGTGTTTATAATTTATATTGAAAGAATAAGGCGTGCCGTTTGCCACAAAACCACTCAATTATCACTAGTTTTTTTTTAATATGCCGTGTGTCTTGACCTTTTCATTATAAAATCACGTAGATTGTTAAATTATTATAATTATAACTGCAATTCAAAAACTATATCAACAAAATATAAAGAAGAAAATTACGTTTATATTGGAAGGGTTTGATTCAATAAAGATAAATACTTCTTAGATCGTGATAGAAGATTGTGATTAAGGATTCCACAAGTGACATAAAAACACTATTTAAATATAATGTGATAGGTATTGTACCTACTATTAAGATCCAAAAAGTAAGCATAAATAGTGATGTATTAAGAAAAAAAAAGTACCTTTAGATTATATTTGTTACATTGACTTGACTGAAATCAAAGACTAATTTAAGTGTTGAAATGTCTTCAGTAACTATACTACTTTTTTCCTCTTAGATGGGTATGACTGAAAATCATTGCTTTCACTTAACTAGATAAATATGTACATATTAAACTATTTAGTTAAGTAAAATCGAGGATTAAAAGGAATTAAAAGACAAAGACTTAGAATATGAAAACATATAAAACGTTAACTTAAAGTGATAAAGTTATCTATGTATCTTTGTATATGTACAACATTGATTATTGATCAAATTTAAATTATATCCGTTAAAGGAAGAAATATAATTAACCTTTACAATTAGTAGAATATTTAGAAGTAGTGAGGTAAGTAAAATATAAATAAATCTCACTTTTTAACTAGTTATTAATATAGTTTTTAAAAAACATAAAAAGAAAAATTGGAACATAAACAATGTTAAAAAACTATAAAAATTAAAATTAGTTTTCCTTTAAGAAAAGCCAAAGAATAAAGCTCTAATAGAATTTAGTTGGAAGATTTAAAGAACAGGACTTGGCGTGTTTTGATTGGTGTAGGAATTGAAAAAACGATCGTTCAAACTTTCTTGCGTAGAAAACGGAGAAGCAAGAACCTTCTTCGTTGACTGGACGTCCCTTTTTACGTTGGGTGCAACTCTGTTACAATTTACAAACACATCCTTTAGGGTCGCACGCTGACTTTCTCTTCACGGCTGATTTATAGTTATATACTAGAGAAAAAAACATGATTTAAACATACCATATCCAAAATAAGGCAAAATACGGGGGAAAAAATCATCACTCTAAATTGTAAAGGCTCCACTAGGACGGTGAGAGTTGAACTTTATATAATTTTAGATTTGAAGTTTAATGCTATTATTATATTTTTGATGAATAAACAAAAGTTTAAATAACTAAACTAGAAATTGAAATTTCGTGTACCGGCTATTTATAGTGTGATTGAATTACTATTTAATGTAAAAAAAAAATGTGAAAGCAACTAAATCTCATTTCTTAGTTTTATGAGAAATATCATTTATTTGATCGCAAACGGATTCTCAGACATGTATTTAGTCTCTAAAATTATAAAATAGTAGTCATTAAAGTTATCTAATGCAGTAAGATTATTTTAATTTTACTAGTTAACATTCCAATTTATGTTTAAAATTACAAAAATAAAGATTGAAGTGAATTATGTTTCATAATTTGATAACTTAATCTGGTGTATGTATGTATGATGTATGGCTCCAAGAGATATGAGATGTTTAAGAAAAATTATTAAGCATGCATGGGCGTTGAGAATTGAGAATTTATGTATCTAGGCAAACCCAATGGGCAGTTATTTGTAGCGTAACATTCTCAGACACTAACAACGTTGACTTGCTCCTGATTTTTAAGGAAAGCATGGTGGGGAAGGTTGAGTTTAAGTTGGTGGGGCTGAACAGGGTAGTTCCCGGAGAAGCAAGCATAGCAGTAGTTAGGAGCTTGAGTCCCCATCAACATGTTCAACCTCTCCAAGGGAAGAAACGCAAGCGAATCGGAGCCAATAAACTCCCTTATCTCCTCCACACTCATCCTATTCGATATCAACTCCTCCGAACTCGGCGTGTCCACTCCATAATAACACGACGCCACGATAGGAGGACACGCGATCCTCATGTGGACCTCTTTAGCCCCCGCCTCCTTTATCAGCCTCACAATCTTAGACGATGTGGTACCTCTCACAATGGAATCATCCACAACCACCACCCTCTTCCCTTCAAGCACGGCGCGTACCGGCGACAGCTTCAGCTTCACGCCGATGTCCCTTATCTTCTGCGAAGGCTCGATGAACGTCCTCCCAACGTAGTGCGACCGAATCAGCCCCTGCTGAAACGGAACCCCGGCTTTCTCGGCGTAACCAAGCGCCGCCACCACGCCGGAATCAGGAACCGCTATGACAACGTCGCAGTCAACGGGAAACACGGTGGCTAATAGTTCGCCGAACTTTCTACGAGATTCATAGACGGATTTCCCGAAGACAATGGAGTTGGGAAGCGCGAAGTATATATGCTCGAAGATGCATTGCTTTGGCTGTGGATGAGAGACGAGGCAGAGGGATTGGGTTCCGGTGTGGTCGACCACAAGGACTTCACCTGCCTGCACCTCTCTTTCGTACGTGGCTTCTATTAGGTCAAGCGCGCATGTTTCCGAGGCGAAAACGACAGCGCCGTTTTTTCTTCTTCCCATGACTAAGGGTCGGAAGCCGAAGGGGTCTCTAACGGCGATCACTTTGTCCTCGCTGAGGAAAACCAGGGAGTATGCACCCTCTAGAGTTTCGCAGGCTTCCATGATTTTTAAGAGGAGGGAGGTGTGGTGGGAGGTGGCGATCAGGTGGAGGACCACTTCGGTGTCGGAGGTGGTGTTGAAGATGGAACCGTTGTTTTCTTCGAGGTGGGACCTCAGGGACTGGTAGTTCACGAAGTTGCCGTTGTGGGCTACGGCCAGGGACCCGAACCGGTAGTTGGCGAGGAAGGGCTGCACGTTCGCCAGCTTCGAGTGCCCGGCGGTGGAGTACCGGACGTGGCCGATGGAGGCGGCGCCGGGGAGGCGGGAGAGGGAGGAGGTGTGGAAGACGTCGGAGACGAGGCCGACGCCGGTGACGGAGTGGAGGAGGTTGTTGTGGGCGGAGACGATGCCGGCGCCCTCCTGGCCGCGGTGCTGGAGGGCGTGGAGGGCGAGGGAGCAGAGGCGGGAGGCCTCCGGGTCGCCGTGGATGGCCACCACGCCGCACTCCTCGCGGGGCTTTTGGTCGGTGCATGGGAGAGGAACAGGGGAAGGGGGCTTGTGAGAGTGAGAGAGTGCGGTTACCGCGGTGGACTTGGATTTGGGTTGGAGAAGGGAAAAAGAAGCGGTGGTGGTGTTGCTGCAGAAAGTGAAAGAGGAGGGTTTGGAGAAGGAAGAGGTGGTGGAGAAAGTAAAAGTATAGAGACTAGAGGTAGCCATGACCATGACAACAAGTTACAAGAGAAACAGAGGAAGCAGTGCAATGCAACAGAGCAACACTTTCTTCGTTTGCTTCGTGGGACCTAAAAACTCTTTTTCAGGCTTTCTCACCAGATTCCCAACCTTTAATTTATATATATAGATCTTCAAAATTATAAATATATATAAATTTTCTATCATCATATGACTCTTTAAATTTTTCATGCCAAACATTTTCTTGTCTTTTTGGTTTGTTTTGGATAATACAAGTCAACAACACATCAGAATCAGAGTAACAGAATTCGGTGGATAAATCTCAATTTTAATTTTTTGCCTTTCATTTAATTAAAAGATTGCATCATTTGATAAAAAAAAACATTTTATATTATGTTTGCTGGCATGATGTAATATAAGAGATTAATGTATTTTTTCATTAATCATTTTTTAAAAAATTTGACAAGCATCAATTAGTGAGTATCTTCTCTCAATTTGAATTTTTTACATTTATAATAAATTAAAATTTGATTTTTGACTATTTGGTTAAGTAATTCAAATCTCTTTTAACTCACACCAACATAAGTTAATTAATGTACATGTATTCTTAACATAAAAATATAAATTATTAATTAATCTATTTAATTTTGTAAACGTATATATTAAAAATGTATTTTTAAATCTAAAAATATCGACCACTCAATCACATGTTGCAATATGTTCACCATCTTCATACGAAGAGTTCACATGGATTTATCTATATATTTATTTAGGGTTTAGGGTTTGATAAATCAATTTTGTAAATCCAAATCCAACTTCAAAATATGACAATATTTAAAATATTTGTTTAACTCAACTTATTACCATAACATATTAATTTGAATATTATATATATAGTTAACTTGTAGAATTAAATACGTATATATTTATAATTAAAATATATTTTACAATATGTATATTTAAAAAATTATATTAATATAAATATTATATCATGTTAATAAAAAAAATATTAATAGGTAAATTTTTTATTATATTAAAAAAAAAAAGATACAAGAGCAGTTAAGAATCAGGATGATCTGAAATATAATTTAAAATTTGTTATCAAAATTCGTTGAATCTAATTTAGTATACCCGTCAAAGCTTCTTTGAACAAAGTCATTTCTTTACAAAATTAACGCATATTAAACTTAACTTTTATGATATTAGTCAAGTTTCTATTATTTTCAATTAAGTTTTTAAACTTGAATGCATGCAACAACGATTAATATATTTATGTCATTCAGTTGCATTTGGTTATTAAAATATTATCTATTTTATAGGCTAATTATATTCTTCATTCATTTATGAGCCTACACACAATTTATTTCTTTTATTTTTGGGATTGGATGTGCATCTTTCGTTTATCTTCATTCATGCATCAACCAAATTGTATACTCACCAAAATTAATGAACATTCTTTTCTTTTACGTAAAATGGACATTGATGCGCACTAAGACTATTTATTATGAGTAACAAAATTTTCTCTCCAAATATTTAATACAGTTGTATATTAAGATTGAAACTCAAGTTTACTGATCACAGATTTAGAGTGAAAAAAGAAATATAATAACATTTAGATCATTGTCATAATATCTTAAAAAATTAGATAGAAAGCTTTTAATTAAGAGTTTCAATTATTGTTACACTTTTAAAACTATTATTATCTTAACTACACTTTTATATGTGTACTATCTAAGAAGATAAGTAACTGCTTATCTAATAGGTAATCATTCATTTGAATAGGTAATTACGTGTTTCACTAACATAAAACACAAATATTATAAATAAAGAGGTATAATATATGTATAGGCTAATTTTAATTTTTTATCTTTTACTCTAATTAATCACTTATTGACTTGGTCGTCCAAATACTCTTTGTAGGTAACACCCTTTTTTGTGATTTCAGAACTAGACAATCTTACTTGGACCAAGATCGGTTGGATTGTGAGAAGATTAAAGATCCTTTGTTTACTTGGAAGAGGAGTACTACATTTTTGTAAGTACAATATGTTTATCCTATTTCAAAATGTTTTTTTTTTTTTTGAAATTTTAGTAATCCTTTGAAAGTTTTAACGATTTATTCTCAAAATTTATAAATAAATAATACTTTATATATATATATATATAGAGAGAAGTGATTAACTTACTATGAGAATAAGTCTACCTAAATTAACTTTTTATATATATACATAACTTTTTTTTACAACAAATAAAATATATATGTAATATTGTGATGTGTGAGAGCTCACTGTAAGTCTTGATGTATATATATTTATATAATTTTTCTGAGTTGTACTTATACTTATATACATGTTATAGTATGTATATTTGTATAAAAAGTTTTATATTAAGAGTTTCAGATTTTTAAAATAGGTTTGAGTTTCAGTTGTATATTAATTTTTTTTTAAAAAAAAATTAGATGAGCCAACCTGTTTAACCCACTAACCCGTGGTAGGCCGGGCCGGATTCAACTTTTTTGAGCTCACTAATAAATGAGCCGGGTTGGGTTGACCCACAAAATGATCAACCCGTGGTGGGTCAGGCCGGGCTAAGTTACTCGTTTTGACAACTTTAAATTTTAGAACTAGGTGATGATTTCACAAAGTATACTAAACATAATAGATCGTTACATATAACAAATTATAAGTCACTTGGATTGTTTATGAAAAATAAGTTATACATATTAAATAAACATATATATGTTGTTCAATATAAGTATTGATTCCTCTTTTGGTTGTATTTTTAGATCACAATTTGCCAAATCTTGTCGACATCAGTCTTAGTGTAGTTTCGAGGGAGGAAATACAGAAGGTTGTTTCTATTTATGTGAATTCTAGTGGTGAATGGGAGCTTGAACATGTCCATCATCTAATTCCTAGCAATGTTTGGGGTCTGATTATTGGTCTTCCTAATTGCTTGGAGCAACTCATCAGATGAATCTTTTACAATGAAGAGTGCGTACAAACTTTTACGTAATACTCCATCTATTGCGAATCATCCGGTTCTTTGGCTGCATTTGGGACTGGGAAGGGCCCCAAAGTATTAAAACTTTTTTTTTTTTATAGAGGATTTTAGTTTGAATGTTAGCCCCCTTATTTTTTATTTATTTAAAAAAAGTATTGATTCCTTTGACAAATATTTAATTTTCACATATAGCAAGCATAAGGAGGGTTGTTTGTTTGTTTCTCCTAAAATGTGAAGCACCAATATTGGGAATCCCCCTGTAGATATGATATTGACCGTTGACGTACTTTGTATACGTACCGAACTCCAGTGCTTAGTTTGGATTGGATTCTTTAACACTACACTTACGCCTTTGCTTTCTTGACCTTTTGTTTTTTGTTGGGTTGGGAATTTTATTTCATAACTTTCCTTTCTTTTTTCGTCCACCTTACATTCAAAAGTTAATTCATATTCCATCAACTCACCTTCTATTTTGTTCTTATAAAATCTGATTCTTACAACTTCAGTCCGTAAGCGAAACCATGCACGACAAGTTTCTATAGACATAGAATCAGAACCTAGCTAGCTAGCTGCTTCACTGCTTCAAGTTTATCGCTAACTTATCTATGCCTAACCTGCAAAGATAATAATGAATCAAACAAGGTTAAGTTGGTGAAGTTAACAATGTCATTTATGGAGGGGTTCACACAAGTTAGCCGCAACTTTTTATGAATAAATGTTAATTTAAATTAATTTAGCAAAATATTCGGTAGTTTTTAAATTTTGTAAAATGTATAGAATATGATATATTTAAAAGCTTTTACATAATATTTAGTTGAGTGGAGTAAAGAAATTTTTATAACGCTATCTGTTTGGTTTAGGTTTTAGAAAGAGAAAGAAGGAAAATAATTGAGAGAAAAATCCCTCTTCATTTAATTTTAGTACCTCTCCGATATTAAGAGGATTCGGAGGGGATAGGAGAAATTTTAAAATATTTTCATTATAATATCTAAAACATCTTTATTTGTTTATTTAAATTCGGAGAGGATAGGAGAAATTTATTCTCATATATATATATATATATATGAGAATTATTTTTATGCCCTCCCTCCTTCCTCTTTTAACACAATTTTGAATCCTCATTATTTCCTCCAACGAGACACGTTCTTTAGGGGATTTGGGGGTTCTAAGAGAGAGGGAAACTCGATATAGTTGTAAATTGGGAACAACCTTTGACAATGGAAGAGTCATTCATTAAATTTATTTATATTTAAATATATATATATATATATATATATATATATATTTCGCTACACTTCATTTACATCAACTCATTATTTTTATCTATCTTTTTTTATAACATCATTCATCTTGGTTATCATTTTTTTTTTCTTTTTCCCTTCTCTTCCTGTTTCTTTTTTCTCCATACACATTTTACACTCATAGGATGTGAAAATACTATTTTTTTTCCCCATAAAAATGAAAACTAATTCATAATGTCAAATGAACAAGCAGGTATTTGTCTTGAAATTTTGTAGAAATTAGATGATAACACGATAGTGTTGGATATGAGCATTGGTTGTGGCTATTTGCAGGGACTGATACACAAGTAAATAGAGGGTTCGATAGAATTTCAACAATTGTAGAATGGTATGTACATGAGAAGATAGATGCTTGTTTCACATAAGAGAAGGTGCAATGACTGGGTGGGGAAGAGTAATAGAAAGTCTATAAAGTCCATTGGCTGCTCCCATCTAAAATAAATAATTTAAATTTACAATATTTTATGTTTTATATATTATTTGTTTCAAAATGAAAAATTATTTTAATTTTAATTAAATAAATTTAAATGAAAGTATAAAAGTGCAAAATCCATTTTGGGGCTCGATGAATCTCCCCATCCTTAGAATCTACCATAATAATAAGAATCTTGTGATAAAGATGTTTGTGCCATTTATTCATATGAGAAGGAGGGCCAAATGACGGGTAGCCAAGAGAAATATGGGTTGCAACATTGGGATGATATAGGATTGGAGGATAGACTTGAACTACACAATGACAAAAAGCATAAGCACAACACACTCTCCAGCCCCACCAAGTTCTCATTTTCATTATGGCTTGCCTTTTGATTATTCATTGGTTGCTATTTCTTTTTCCATTTTCTTTAATATATTAATTAATAAATAATAATAATTATAAAAAGAAAAAAAATGTCAAATTGTATGAATTTTAAATTTTAATATAAATTTAATGTGTTTTTATGAATTAAAACTTTATGTATGAAAATTAAACATTCATTTAAAACACATTGGTTGATACGACTATTAAAAAATTATTTCAAACTAAACTACTAAAAAAACTAGATTGAACTAGATTATAAAAAATACTCAACTGTTTTTTTTTTATAAAAATTAAATTGAACTTAGTTTGGTTTTAAAAACTAAATTCCTAAAAAAAAATTAGTTCTATTCAATTCAAATCATAAAAAAAAAGTTTGATTTAGAACACAAAAGTAGTTTAATTTAATACAAAATATAGTTCAAGTAGATAGAATATCAATTAGTGGTTTCAAAATTACTATGTATGTGTCAATGTGAGCTTAAATTATTTTGCCTTAGTTTTAGATAAGTGATTTTTGGTAAACAATTTTGGTTGACTTATGACTTAAAAGATTTTAATTTTTTCAAATTAAATTGTGATCGACACATTTTAGTTTATTATTATTATAAGTTTGAGAATAGGAGTTAATTTGAAATAAAAATAATTTTTTATAGTGCAATATAGTTAAACTTATAATAAAAATAAAAGTTTAGTTTAGTTTAAATTATGTGTAGCTTGAACTTTTAGAACCATAATTTAGGTTGATTTTTCTAGTTTAAATTAAAAAAAAATAGTTTAGTTTAATTTTTCTAAACTATTTTATAATGTAGTTCAATTTAGATGAACTACTTTTATACTTCAAATTAGTTAATAGGTCAAATTAGTTTAATTCAACCTTTTTGAACACTCCTAACTGGAAATCAATTAATAAATCTTTTATAGGTCTAACACGTATCTCAAGGTAGTGTTCACCTTTTTTAGTTTTCTTAAATCAGTTTTATACCCTTTTGTACTAGATAGGTCTTGGACTATAATTTTGAGGATACCTCAACCTTTAGAATGAACATCGAGATGCAAAAACCAAAAGCGTGGCAACACACCAAGTACTATTTGGCATGTTGAGAAGGTCTCAATGTTCAACTGTGCTGTCTTCAGCATGCCAGAACCTACAGCTCTATGGCTAAGGAGACACTAAGAGAAACATTTGACCTTTAGATGCTAATTAAAGATTTTAAATATTCTTTATTGTTTCTACATGAATGGTAACATATCTTCCATTATTTATATTTGTGCACTTTACCTTTAGAAAGAACGACCAATCTGAAAGATTACACATAGCTTTGAACACCCTCTAACTTAAGTATTAGAATATCTTTTATAGGTATAACCACATGTTACACATCGACTGCCCCTGAAAACTCAAAAAGAGGACGATAACTTATTTATAAAAATATACCTCTCACATGATTTACTATTACTGTTGTTCATTTTGACTTTATAACAATGTTGTGCTTCACCATACATACAAATAAAATTGAATTCATCGTCATCTTCTCTTATTTCTACTTATACTCACCATATAACTAGATTGATTACCTTTGTTATTTTTTTAATCCTTTAATGCATTTTCTTTCTTCTCTCATTTCTAGTTTATGTAGGATATTAAGTATGCTTTGTTTTGTTTCTTCTTCACATGATAATTTTGTGAATGGTATAAATTCCGTTGATATTTTTGTGTTCATCCATGAATGTTTGATTCTATTTATCATGCTCATTCTATTTTCAGCCAAAACCCAGGTTTCAAAAGAAACCTCATCACTGAAAACCACGTATGGTATCCCTACAATGGTAGGAGGTCCTCAGACGAAGTAGAATATAGAAATATTTGTTAAGGAATTCTACCATTTTTTTTTCTTTTTTTTTTTTTTTTTTGAAGCACTTTAGATAAGCTTCGAATATATGTTACAACATTTGAGTTACATGCACTAGAAAAACAAAAACAATGTCCATTTTGTTTAATAAATGTCTTCCTTTGATGTCATATTATTAGCCATATGTTTCTCTTGCTTTAAATCTGGAAAATTTGAGGGCAGAGTTCTGTAGTTGGCAATTGCTTTGATAGTACGTTTGTTTTACACGTTTTGAAATCTCAGCTGCATTCTTATATGGTGTCTGCCTTGCAAAAAAATTGCTGATTTTTCGGAAAAAAATTAAGCATCTCTCATACGTGTTTTAGAATACAAGTACATAAAATGCATACAATGTTTAAATTCTGAAAAATGTGTACTATAAAAAATATTCTTGATAGGTTATTTGTTCATTTTAGCAGGGCAGGTTGTTAACACTTGTTTTCATAAATTGTATTTGTTCAAAGGAGACCGAAGAACAAACACCTATTTTCATAAATTGTATTTGTTCAAAGGAGACTAGAGAACTATTGGTTACCTCCTTCTGAAGAGGAGTAACGTGTTCTTTGGTTGAGGAAAATATTTTCAATTTAAAAATATTTCTATTTTCATGAGGGAGTTATTTCTAATGTAACCCATTATCAATCTATGTTTAACTCATTATCCTTTAAACAATTATGTAGATACGTCCATCATTTCGTATGTAGAGATTTTTTTTATTGAATTTTGTGATGAGCAAATCTTTATATAAAGAATGTGTTGCTCTACCCTTGAGTCATCGAACCTTATAGCAGACAATACTATTTTATATTGAGAGTGAAAATTTAGACACGAGTTAGAACTGAAATTAAAGTAACTGAAATTAAAGTAGATATCAATAATTAAAGTTCAGTCCTTTGTGATTCTTTTTTTACTTCCCTCATCTTAATATGTTTTTTAATGTGTTTAACGTGTTTAGATCGATATGTTTCTCTAACATTTGGTATAAGATTTTTGTAAAGCCTCTGCCTCATTTGTAGTGACATTCTATCATGGATTTTTGTTTTCCAATTAATGGGCATTCCCTTTTTGGCCTTTTTAATCAAAATAAAGCTAGAAATTGAATGAAAATCCTTGTCTAAACGTTTCGGTGATTTAAAATATCCTTGTTGGTGTGAAAAAAATGGTTAAGTGATTATTTTCTTTGCCATACTCAAGTAGTAACTAGGTTCAAATCTCTCCTATCGCATTTTGTCCCAATTTTTTTTCTTCATAAAACTAAATTGCATTAAAGGTACCAAAAGAGACATGCCAAAATTTGAACCCACACCCCACACATACACAAGACATGACATGCCATTGCACCAAAAATGTGTTTCTATTATGCGTTTATTATTTAAAGAATTTTAGATGCGTATATTTATGGCTAACCAAACTGCATAAATAGAATTTTAGATGCGTATATTTATACCCAAGGACTTGAATCAAAACTCAACGTTCACTATCTCACATGTAGAGTTTTTTTTTTCTTTCTGAGTTTTGTGATGACCAAAATTTTATACAAGAAGTGTGTTACTCTTTTCTTGAGTCACCGAACTTGCTTTTATCTATAGACTATAGTATATAAACACCATTCTGTATTGAGAGTGAGGGTTTGGAACCATTTTGAAGGGTTTTAGGCACGACTAGATGTTGATCCTTCGTGATTTCCTTTTTTCTGCTTTCGCTAACTTAAATAAGTTGTTTTTAATGTGTTACTCTTTTCTTGAGTCATCGAACTTGCTTTTATCTATAAACACTATAGTATATAACACCATTCTATATTGAGTGAGGGTTTGGAACCATTTTGAAGAGTTCTAGGCACGACTAGAGGTTGGTCCTTCGTGATTCCTTTTTTTCTGCTTTTGCTAATTTAAATAAGTTGTTTTTAATGTGTTTAAAAGGTTATATGGATATATTTGTCTAACATGGCCAGGGTAGTACGCTTTCTAATACATATCACAATGTTGCTTCCCTTGTATTGAGGGTCATAACCAATTTTTTTTGCATTCTGTATACTGTGATAGTGTACATGACTACAGCTTTCCCCACATACATTTGGGAAGAAATACAACACTGGATCTCTCCCAGCAACTTAAATTTGTTTTGAGTTTGTGAGACTAACATTAAAAGGTTGGTTGGATGAATGATAATGAAATAAAAAGAAATAAGTGCAAAGGCATTTTTAACCATGGCAACTGCCAGTACTATATTCCTGATCAATACATACCAGTGAAAAGTGACACGAGGTAAACCCGGGAAGCAGGACAACCCACTAAATTAAATGAACACCATGTAAAAAGAAAGAAAGAGCATAAAGATACCACATTGACATGTACATGCATCTGGTTGAGCGTAATTTGTTCAACACACCCAAATTCAGACAGCAGCAATAGTAAACATTATAAATTCCACTTACCGGAATAAGTAAAGCAAGGAAAATAATTTTATACAGTGAGTCCTCGTGTATACTAACATCCTGGGTTAAGCCATATAAGGAGAGAAAACCCCAAAATGGGTCTACATCACTTCAGGGTTGACAATGCAAGGTCTTGATGTTCAGATAATGTTGTCACTTGTTAGAACTAGAAAACAGCATCTTTCTAGCAAGCATTTTAGTGAAGTCTTTCCAATCACTGCACATAAGTAATTGATTTGATAACTGAATGAAGCTAACCAAACTTGGGATACAAGTACCAAATACAATTGTATATTCATATTTGGCAGAAACCTAGCAGAAAGCTTGAGACTAACTACTTATCTTGGATAAAAACAATTCTTAAAACAACCTTCAAAGTAGGATCATCCAAAGTTGTTCTTGACATAGGTTCATTAAAACATACCTATCAAGAGCGAAAGATCTGTCGATATAAAACAGGCACAAAAGTGATGCACTGGGAGGCATCTATTCCACATAAATGATTCCTTCGTCAGGATCTTCACCATCCCAATCATCATCATCATCATCCGCATTAGCTGATGAATCCAACTTGTCCTTGTTTTGTCTCTCTGTGCTCTTGTCATTCTTGATTTTATCTAATATTGCAATCACCTGAAAATTTGAAGCGTTGGACACACATGATCAGCAAAAGGTGGAAGGACACTGGAGCGAGCAAGAAGCATAAGCATGTATATAATTATAAAGAAGCAGTGAATATAGTGTTGGTACCCTGCTTCCTTTCTCGAAAGAATCGTCCTCTATAAAGCGAATCTCGGGAGTTAAGCGCAACTTGATGCGCTTGCCCAACGCACTGCGAACATATTTAGCCTTGGACTTCAAGCCGGCGATGGCGACTTCTTTGCCTCGCTCATCTCCAAAAACAGAGACATAGACCTTAACGACCTGCAAGTCACCGGAGACTTGGACGTCGGTGATGGTGGTGAGGGAGGAGAGGTAACGGTCGGCTCCTAAGGAAGCTTCTGGAAGAACGGCGTACTGCAAGACTTTGTCAGTGAGAAGCATGTCAGAAAGCTCCCTCCTTATTTGCTTGGCCACCATTTGGACTCTCCGAGGATTGGCCATGCACCTTATCCTCGAACCCACCACCGTCTTTCCTTTCAGAATCGCCATTGGAGACACCCTCACTGTAACTCTGCCTGCGGGAAACGGACATGGTGGTGTGAGCGCTGCTGGATGAAGCATTTCTCTTTACTTCCCTCTGCCTCTACGCCTCTCTCTACCCTTTCTAGATCAGTTTTAGTTTCAGAGCCACCCAACACCATATCCATTCAACACTCTTTTTCTGCTCTCCAACAACTACAGGCCCACTCCTAAGCCCATCACAAACATCACTAAGCCCATAATCTAAGGCCCTTCAATACACTCTGTCCTGTTTTGGACCAGGTTCATTTTAAATTACTAAAATATCCTTATTACATATTAACTAAAACAAAAAGAATGAGTGGTTTTTGTTTTAAAATTTTAGTGTAACTTATTAATATAATTTAATTAAAAAAGATTATAAAAAAAGTGTGAGTATGTTAGAAATTTTTCTCTATGTATAATATAATATGATTATTAGTAATGTATAAAGAATAATAAATATATTTATTGTCAAGTGTAAATAGTTTATTTATTCTATATACCAAAGCAGACTTTTTTCAAAATTTTCATATTGTGATGTTCATTTGCTGAATTTCAAAAAGTTGATTGTGTAATTATAAACTTTCTCTTCAAATTAATTAATTTTGTATTTTTTTTCAACTGATTGTGTATCATTTGGAAAGGGAACATGGATGGACTGTGTTTTAATTTTTTTTATTTATTGTAGCTGAGATTAAGGTTATTAACATTAATAGCATAATCGAGTTTCGAGAAGTAACATGGTTGTGCATGAAAAAACAGGACTACCCGAATACTACTGTCTTAATTAGGTACTGAGACATTGAAATCGTGGGATTAAGATATTGACCATTACAAAGAACAATGTACTTTATTTTCTTTTTTATGTTTGTCTGTTTTTTTCCTAGGTATGATTGATAAACAATTGTTAATTTGACCTGAGTAATATTATCACAGAATCTTTTCGTTGCCTTAAAGAGAATCTCTTTGATTGACTCAATATTCATTACACGTCTTCTTTTAAAAGCTATCATTCAATAATTTTTTCAATCAGCATTTCAATATGTACATTGAAGAATCTTGGCTTTGACACAAGGATATTCAAAAGAGAATACTTATTTAGTAAATATTAGTTACTATTTTTAACAGTAAACATTTTATATTTGTAGCAATTTGATATGTTATTATATTTAATACAGTACAACATAGCGAGAATTATAAGATAATTATATTACTATAGGTTCTCACTCAATAATCACCTTGACATATATACATCAATTATATGAATAGGGTGTATAAAATTTAAAACAATTCTTACCAATGTGACTGAAAACATAAAACTCCTTAAGGCATTATATACTCACATTGTACATATATATAATATATTTGTAATATACTAAACTATAAACAAAACAACTTTATCGTTGATCGACAACTCTATTGTAACACTGTAAGTTTTTTAATTATTGTACCTATATGGTGTTTAGGGTATGTTGTGGGCTTTGAGAGTTGAAAAACTCTCAAGAGTCTTGTTAGTTTTGAAGGTCTTTGGCCAGAGGTCCAGTTGACCCTAAGGGAAAGATGTATATAAGGTTTCTGTTGAAGCTTAATTCTCTAGATTTTTGAGAGATAAACTAAAGACAAGTGTTTTGGGTTTGTGGGTTTCTCTCTTCTCTAAACCTTTTCTCAATTGAACAATTTTTTCCCGGAATCATTAATGTGTTTGTGTGCTTTGATTTAGGTGTCTAGTGAGTTTAAATTAGGGTGTGGTGCGACACTTCATGAAGCTTGAATTCAATTTCCCTCTTCTTCATTTTTGGTGGCTTGGAATTGAGGTAAGGAAAGCTAGACTCAATTCTTGCTGAATTGTTGAGTTGCATATGCCTAGATTTCTTTAAATTATTGGTTGCTTGATGAATTTGAGGTGGAACTTTCGTGTATGTTGAGTTTTTGGTGTTTTGAGTTTATGGGTGTGATTTTGGTGAGTGATGCAAATTGAGTTGCATGTGTTATTTGAACTTAGAATTGAGTTGTGAATGATAAGTACAAGTTGTTGGATGCATTGCATGCTTGGTTCTTTTGAATTTTAGGTCTTAGAGTGCAATTTTCAAAGTTATTTACTATTGTAGATTTCTAATGCGCCTAACACACCTTCATGAAGTTGGGTATTGTTCCAACCAGAAATCTCTATTTCGTCTATGTCAGGTGCAGGATTAGTGGCACCAAATGTGAGGAGAGAGACTTGTCTCGAGTTGGGAGATGTTGAGTGTGATTAGAATTGTGTCGGACGTGAAAGGATTGGAAAGTCTCTGACTTGGTGACATTAGGCCGTAATTGGGTAGCGTCAAACATGATCAATACAAAGACTCTCTGCCTAAATGACGTTGGACGTAAGTGAGGTGACACTGGGCGTGAGTCAGACAAAGGCTCTTTTCCTAATATGAGGTTGGGCATGGATTTTTGCCACACTAGGTGTGAGTTCCTAAGAGTTCCCTACCTCAATCACATTGGGCGCAGGTTGAGTGGCATCAGATGTGGACGAGATAGAGAACTCTCTACCTCAGTGGTGCTAGACACGAGGTAAGTTGCGTTGAATGGATGTTGCGTTGATGATACATGTTGTTTGATTGGTGAATAGGTGAACATGAATAACGTATTTGAGTCTATTGCATCTTGTATGATGTATGATGAATGTTGACACCCTCTCTCTCCCTCCCTCTCTCTCTCTCTCTCTATATATATATATATATATATATATATATATATATATATAGGCTTTTGAACTCGAGATTTTTTTCATATA